ATCGCACAACTCGACGTCGACGTGATCACCTTCGGCAGGAGAAGCAGGGGCAAGACGGGCGCGTCGGTTCTGGTGAGTCTTGACGTGCTTGTTGTAGTGGTCGGATCGCATGAAACGTTTTCCGCACTCGCCACACTGGAAACGTTTTTCGCCCGTGTGCGTTCTGAGGTGACGCTGGAGTTCATCGGAGCGAGTGAACGCCTTGTCGCAGTACATCCACTGACACACGAAAGGCCGCTCTCCGCTGTGTGAAAGCAGATGTGCCTTCAGGTGGGACGTCTTGGCATACAGCTTGCCACATCCCGGGACATGGCAGATGTGTTCCCTTTTCTTGCCGCCTGTACTGCTTCGTGAGGCGTCCTGGCAGTTGGGGCAGCGCATCGTCGACAGCGACGACCACCGACTGACGTGCTGACGAGAGCAGAAGCGATGCGCCTTCGCTGCTGAAGGATGGTGTCCTGTGCGAAGGCGTTGGGTTGCTGTGGAATGAGGTTGGTTGCCTTGGCCCAGCAGAGGTCCGGCATGCTGCTGATAAAGGTGGAATGGATAATCGTAAGTGGCGTGAGAAGTGGGCGTGTTATAAGACTTGCACTCCACCAGGGCGATGTGTGCGATTCCTTGGGGGCGTGAGGGGTTTCTCGGGCGGAGGAGAGAGCGTGGGCGGTGTGATAGGTTGGCAAGGGCGCTGTAGTGGTGCTGCAGGTACGGATAGGGAAGCTCCCCGACGCCGCCGTACAAGTTAGGCGGCGAGACGTTGGCAAGTTGTCCACGGACGTGAGGGAGAGTCGTGGTGGGAGTCTGTTGATGGAAAGGACCGAATGCATTTCTGGCGTGACCGTTGCTGTAATAATCCATGGCTGTTCCCTCAACTGTGCCACAAGAATACATCTCAGTGCCGTTGTTCCGCAAGGAGCAAGTGGGGAAGCGGAGAGTGAGGTGGACCTTACCTGCGAGCAGTGATATACCTGTCCTGGGAATGCGGGTTCTCTCGGCCGACTGTCACGTACTGCCATTGTACCGCAATGTATTTATTTTTATGAGCTGGGTTGATCTTCGTATAATTTTCTTAGTCCTGTATGGAAATTTTCTAATAAGTATACAAATAAAGGTAGATGTATATGAATATTTGTATATGTAAATTTTCCATCTCTATGCATATAAATATGTATATACATGCAGTATATATATATATATATATATATATATATATATATATATATATATATATATATATACTGTATGTATGTGTGCATTTGTGTTTACATAATACAAATATGCGTTTTTATATACATATATGAGTGAATATATATGTATGTGTTTATATATACATGTTTGTATGAATATAAATAGATACATAGATAGGTTGGTATTTAGACGCTATACATGCACAGAATCCCTTATGACTTATTCAGAATACCATCGATTAATTTGTCATCGCTCTCTTAGGAATACTATCATTTCTAAAATTATATTATTTGAGTATTTTTTGACAATGGTAAGAAAAAGCTGTATCATGCCGGACATTCGTAGTCTCCCTACACGTCACTGAAATGAGAAAGATTTCAAAAGACTAGGCTATAAATTATATTTCAGCAAAAAAAAAAAAAAAAAAATCATTTATAGAAGCGCTGAAAGAAGGAAGGAGGAAGTGAAATGGGAAGAGGAATAAGAGAAAGGACGGTCATTCCGAACCCGTAATCCGAAGACACTTCACTTTCATGTTCTCCGAATTCCGCCCTTTGCCCCTCCTCTCCCGCCTTCTCCTCCTCCCCCTCCCCCTCCTCCCCGCTCTCCTCCTCCTCCTCCTCCTCCTCGCTTCTCCTCTTCTCCTCTTTCTCCTCTTCTTCCTCCCTGTCTCTCAACCTCTGTTCTTCCTCCTACTCCTCTCCTCCCCTTTCTATCACCACAGCTCTTTCTCTATTTCTTCCATACGTTTGATTTTTATATTTATTTCTTCCTTTATCCTCTTCCTTCATATCCTCTTTATCCCCCCCTATCATATCTCCTTTATTCCGCATATCATACTTCTTGCTTCTTCATCTTCTCTCTTTGATTTCTCTTCTCAGCCATTTTCTCTTTCTTCCTCGTCATTCTCATTCCTGGTCTATTTTCATCATTTCCTCTTTATTCCCATTATCTTTATTTTCTCTTCTTTGTTCATCATTCCAAGGGGGTAGTTGGAGGAGAAAAGGAAGACAGGAGGAAAGAGAAAGAGAAGGCGGAGGAGGAGGGAAGAAGGGGAAGGAGAAAGAAGGAAGGAGGAGGAGGAGGAGATAGAATGAGGAAGAGGCGAGGAGGGGGAAGAGGAGTAGGTGGGGAGAAAGGAGACAGGAGGAGGATGCGGAGAAAAAGGAGAAAGGAGGGGGGAGAGGAGAGGAGGGGGAGGAGCAGAGGAGGAGGCGGAAACGGAGCGGGAGGAGGAGGAAGCGGAGGAGGAGGAGGAGGAGAAGGAGAGAGGAGGAGGAGGCGGAGAAAAGGAGAGGGGAGGAGGGGAGGAGCAGAGGAGGAGGAGGCGGAGAAGGAGAGAGAAGAAAGAGAGAAGGAGGAGTGAAGAGGGGAGGAAGGGGAAATTAGGAGAGGAGGCAGAGAAGTAGGAGGAGGAGGAAGTGAAGAGGAGGGGGAGGAGGAAGAGGATAAGGAGAGAGGAGGAGGATGCGGCGGATATATATATATATATATTATATATATATATATATATATATATATATATATATATATATATATATATATATATATATATACGCGTGTGTGTGTGTGAGTGTGCGTGTGAGTTCACACACACCTACACATATAATCAATTTCATTATCATTATCATTTTAATGACATTATTTTCTAATTTTATTTATTCGTTTCATAATGTTACACTTAGTATACTGATAAGGTAATCATTGGTATTTGTTATAAAAGAACAGGAAAACAATGTTATTGTTATCACTGGAATAAAAAGTCTTTAAAATCAAGAATGGTTTTCTCTCTAACACTGATTAACACTGACAAATGGTGATTGACCGCATATGGGTGACCTGGGATGACCTGGAAATGACATCGTCCAATTCGCACCTTGTCGCGAACTTGTTATGGTATGTCATCTATAATCAACATTCTAAAAAATCAATGTAGGCTCTGTAACAGTTAACTCCATAGTGATGAAACATGTGTGTGTGTGTGTGTGTGTGTGTGTGTGTGTGTGTGTGTGTGTGTGTGTGTGTGTGTGTGTGTGTGTGTGTGTGTGTGTGTGTGTGTGTGTGTGCTTCCCACGGTAGAGGGCACGAGAACCAAGAATCATGCATCATGAAAGGTTTTATGAAGTATTTCAGGTAAACGTGGAATGAATAAGATACATACCCGTGTCTGTCATGAAATCCGTCAAAGCGATGTCAAGAAAACAAACATTGAAAGTGAGATCAAGAACAACCCATGACACTAAGGTGACCTATGATAATGAGTTCGCGACAAGGTGTGAATCCGTGACTCACTCGTCGCAAAATATAGGTCAGAACATGCTTCATTAGCCACTTATTAGTAGACATTGTATGATAAGTTTGACAACTCGTCAGTGAAATATTGCAGTAATAGTAACGTAACATTGTTAGGATCAGGCCTTATACTATTTTTATTTTTATTTTGGATTTGAATGTCTGTCTCATTGTGCGTAAAATCTAAATCATACCATATCGAACACAACGATATTTACATTTTCAGAAAAGGGATTAAGAGACTAACCTTCGATCACAATATATACTGTCTGTGATTCGTAGTATTTTAATCAATCAATGCATGTACGAAAGAGATAAATCAAATTCGTTTGCATTACCTTTATTACCTACATTTTCAGTAACACTAAAGTATGTATTACACTTACACTGATAAGTCAGTTTACGACGTTTACCGTCTCTTTGACTAATTGTGACCTGAAATGACCTGAGGGTTACAACATTCAATTCACACCTTGTCGCTAACTTGTTATTGTTGGTCACTCTTGGTAATGTTATAATTATGAGATTCCTGACAACTGAAACTAGTTGTACGTACTTCCTAATTATTTCTGTTGCTAACTGTGAGAAAATATATAGAAAATGCCATCAAATGCAAAGCATAAAACACGAATATGTATGTGTGTGTGAGAGAGGGGGGGTATATACTGATATAATAAAATCTATTAGGAATTCTCATATGGTAAATTTACACATTATATAATATTGCCTATAGCAAATTTATACATAGACAATATTATGTAACAACAATATTTCCTCCTCATTAATCTATTCATTTAAAGGAAATGAAGAAGTCTGTTAAGCCGGTTGATGTAAATGATTGATATGAGGATGAATTAGAAATCTGACTGATAGGCCAAACGCAAGATAATGAGTTGTGGGGGAATTCATGTACCTAATTTCGTTATAATTCACAAGCTAAGATGTTCTTTCCTTTTCAAAATATGACCTAAAAAAGGTCAAGAGCTACATCAAATACCCTTGGCTTAATTGCCCATAACTGTACATTATTTCAAAAGAGTTCGCGACAAGGTGCGAAATGGTTGCTGTCACCCGAGGTCATCTCGGGTCAAGCCGTTTCTCCTCGTCATCTATTATCGCTACAGAAGAATCAAAGGAAAAGAGCATCAAATTTCCTAATCACACAAGTGAAATATCTGAAATAATTTCATGCAATTCTGCAGAAATTATAGGACTACCTTCCTCTGAATATAAGATTCAGTTAAACACGGAAATATCAATATACCCATCGTACGACACATGTAAACTTATAGACAAAACAAGAAATACTGTCTAAAGATACAAGAAAACAAGAAATCCGAGAAAAGATACAGAATGAACTTTCGGGTTTTGTCGACCTGCCATACCTGGGAAGTGGGCGGAGAAGCGACCTCGTGCTCTGATTGGCTGACGTCATCCAGAGCCCAGGTATATTACCTTCCCCGATCACGGACATCGTCACACTTCTCCCAGCGTCTGTTGCATCGACAGCCAGTTTTATCAAGATGTATCCCGTCAGTGCCTTAGGAGGACCGCAGTTATCTCACTGGGTGGGCGGTGATGGCCTGAGCAGCTTCCATTCCTATCAGCAGCCAGGTCTACCATTAACGCCGTCGCCTGAAGCTCACAGAGGATATTTCGCCAATGTTTCGCCTACGTCCTACAGTGGAGTCAGTGCTTTGCCTTACCATTCCCTTCAGCAGTGCTACGGCCAGCACAACGGCGTCGCGACCCCAATGCTCTCTCCTCCTCCTGAGAAGCCGGTTACGCCGCCGAAGGATGTGCAGACGCGTCCCTGGTGGAGCACGAGCGTTTCCACGACACCAACGTCACACATCCCCCACAGCTTCCGCCATCCTCAGTATGCCAGTCCAACGGTACCACCAACAGGTCAAGCAACTCCTCCGTTTCTTCAATCCCTCCCGATTGCCGTGCGCAGGATTCCGTTTCGCACCATCCAAATGCCATCGCCTCTGCTCTCCTCAACGCGCAGTCATCCGTCAGCGTTCGGCGTTGTCGACGATGCCGTTGCCCCAACTGTCTGAATGCCCCACGAGACGGTTCAGGTGCCAAGAAGAGGGAGCACGTTTGCCACATTCCCGGGTGCGGCAAAGTGTACGGCAAAACGTCCCACCTCAAGGCTCACCTCCGGTCCCATGCCGGAGAGAAGCCCTTCGCGTGCCAGTGGATCTTCTGCAACAAGGCCTTCACTCGCTCCGACGAACTCCAGCGCCACCTCAGAACGCACACGGGCGAGAAACGTTTCGAGTGCGTCGAGTGCGGCAAACGTTTCATGCGCTCTGACCATCTCAACAAACACGTCAAGACCCACGAGAACCGACGCGCCCGTCTTGCTTCTGCTTCTCCTGCCGAAGGTGACGACGTCGACGTGGAACTCTGCGATGACGCCGTTGAAGACTGTGCGGAGGAACTTCTCTCTGTTACGCTGCCAGACTCTCCCGTGTCTGAAGCAGAACTGCAGGAAGCTGATATTGACGTCGAATTTGCTAGAGAACTCTTATCTATGTGGACAGGATAACCACTTGTCGCAATATGGCTATATGCAAAACTTCCAGATCTAAATTGCACACTAGTTAAATTTCCTGGGTGAACCATCTATGTAAAACCCCGTGATTTTATATTTATTTATTGGAAATAATGGAAATAAAAGATTCATATATAATTTTCCTATCATATACCTTGAGTTAGCTATATCTATCGCATGCCCTAATAGACGAAACAGTCTTTCACATAGTTCAGACACACATAGTTCCCAAGTACCAAGTCTTTTCCTGTTTCCAATATGTTTTCAAACTTTGACCTTTAACGTGAAATACAGTTCAATATAGATCATTTATGATTTCTATCCCTCAGATTTAACCCTTCTATTTGACACTACTCTCCATCTCCTAAAGACAAGAACGGGATATCATTATCGTCACTACTGATGTTATCATGATTCGTATTATCATTGTCATTGTCATTATTATGATTGATATTATTATTATTGTTATTGTTATTATTCGCATTATCATTATCATCAGCATTATCTTTATAATTATCATTATAATTATTAATCCTGGTATCATTATTATCATTATCTCCATTACTATCAGCATTTTTACTGTTATCATTATGAATAGTTTTGTAACTATCAATCTTTTTTTATTACGACTATCATTATTCTTATCATGGTTATCATTATTATAATTATTATCTCTATTATGACTATTATCATTATCATTATTATGACTATCATTATCACCATTATTATGACTATCATTATCACCATTATCATGACTATCATTATCACCATTATTATATTTATCATTATTATGATTATTGTAATTATTATTATTACTATTATCATTATCATCATTATCATTACTCTTATCATTATTGTGATTATCATTTCTATTGTCATCATAGTATCGCAATTATCATTATCATTATTAGTAATATAATTATTAGTGCTAGCATTACTAGTATATCATTATTAGTATTAGCATTGGTATTACGAGAATCACTGCTATCATTAGCATTATTGATGTTGTTATCATTACTATTGTTATTGTTATTATCAGTATCATATTTATTAACAGTACCAATGTTATTAGTATCTTTACTATTTTTGCTATTAATTGTTATCCATTATCTATCTTATGTTATCATTATTATTATTATTATCATTATTATTTATCATTATTATTATTATTATTATTATTATTATTATTATTATTATTATCATTATTATTATATTATTATATTATTATTATTATTATCATTATTATTATTATCATTATTATTATTATTATTATTATATTATTATTATTATCATTATCATTATTATTATTATTATTATTATATTATTATCATTATTATTATCATTATCATTATTATTATCATTATTATCATTATTATCATTATCATTATTATTATTATTCTCATCACCATTATTATCATTATCACTATCGTTATGATTATTATCATTACCATTATTGTTAACATTCTAATTATAAAGGAATATATATCATAAGATATAGGGATGTAACTTGAGATATAGGAATATGTAAAATATATAATAGAAATACAAAATATGAGACAATACAAATGCATATTACAGAATGTAATGGAAACTATAAACTATAATAAAACTTACTTATAACATCCCAAATATGTAAGTGTTGAAAATAACGCAGTTGGCAACTCCGATGGAGGTCACAACTCGCGTCCTCATTGGCTGTCGCCTTTTGCAGTCCACGTGTATTACCTTCCACAGGTGAGATTCCACATCACTTTTCGCTGCTCATCGCTAGCACTACAATCAGCATTGTCAGCATGTATGCCTGTGGTACACTGACACAGTCGCAGCTTCCTCATTGGTCAGCAAGTTTGTCACGCCCCCGAAGGAACCGCACACATCCTCCTGCTGGAACACTGCCGCCTACGCTACTCCGCCCTCACATGCTGCTTCCACCTACCACTTCCACCCTCACCAGTACGCCAGCCTTGCACTGGGTGGCGTGGCACACGTGAGTCCAGCTGTTCCTCAGTCCGTTCCCAGCGCCGTCACTCACGATGCCATTCCTCACCAACAAAGCAACATCGCCGCCGCTCTCCTCACCGCTCACTCGTCGCTCACTGTTCGGCGTTGTCGACGATGCCGCTGTCCTAACTGCCAGGACACTTCGCGAGACGCTTCAGCTGCCAAGAAGAGGGAACACGTGTGCCATGTTCCAGGATGTGGCAAGCTCTACGCCAAGACTTCTCACCTCAAGGCACATCTGCTCTCGCACAGCGGAGAACGCCCCTTCGTGTGCCACTGGATCTTCTGCAACAAGGCCTTCACTCGATCCGACGAACTTCAGCGCCATCTCAGAACGCACACCGGTGAAAAACGTTTCCAGTGTGAAGAGTGCGGAAAACGTTTCATGCGTTCTGATCATCTGAACAAGCACGTCAAGACGCACCAGAACCGACGCGCCCGTCTTGCTTCTGCTTCTCCTGCCGAAGGTGACGACGTTGACGTGGAACTGTGTGACGATGAGGAGTTTCTCTCCGTTACTCTGCCAGACTCTCCCGTGTCTGAGACGGATTTTCTAGAGGATGATGATGTAACGGGGAATGATCAGATAAACAGCATCAACCAGTTTCTATGATTTAAGCATTTGTAAAATATTTATAGGTGAACCTTTAAATGTACCAAGTGATTTAATAAGAATAAAATGTCACATTGAAATATCTGTTTTACATTTGAAACATGATTTCTAGACTCACCTATATCAGAGAGAGAGAAGTTAGAAAAACGCAGATGCATAAGATCAAACGCTTTATATGATATGAACATTTGCAAATATCCAATGATATATATATATATATATATATAATAATTATGATAACCAGAAACGCTCATGTCTGAGAGTTTTAACTGAGAAAGTTATTATTTTGAAAATATATCCTGTGAACTTACGTAATTGTGTATACCCGGATTTATATATAACCTTTTCTATAGACAATTAGGAAAAAATGAATCAAATAAGAAACAAAAAGAAAGAAGAAAAAACAAGAGGAAATCAGATATTAAGATTGGACTCCCACTGACAATTTGTTGATTGTTGTCGCGAACTTGTTATTGTCAAACTGGTGATTGTCAGGGCAATAGTTGTTGCTAATATATATATATATATATATATATATATATATATATATATATATATGTATGTATGTATATATATTATATACTTACAAATGTGTATATATAGATACAAATATATGCCTACTCAAACAAATAATTGTTAATATATTTATATACATATATATACATATATATAACATACGTGTTTCTGTGTGTGCATGTCACTTGCAATCTATAAGATGCTTGAAAAGATTAAAATCCGAAACGGACTTGTTGCAAAGCCACCCATCCTCCATTCTCCTTGGCTCATCTCATCCTAAAAATATGAAATGCTTGTGGCTAATATGCATCAGTCATCACTATACTTCTCTGTTAGAGAATATATGAGATAATTCATAACATGCAGAATTCATCTGAAGAAGCTGTAAATAACATTTTCGACTGTTTACCTTTCGTATAATTGTTCTCACCTTTGAAGTGAATTTATATGGTTTATCCCAAGAAGAAACGTGTCTTTATATTCTGTATTATCATGCGGGCATAGTATTTTACTTCGAAAAAAAAAAATGATGAATCTTACAAAACAAATTCATTTTCATTTTCTTCTTGGAGAAAGGTAGTTTGATATTCATTCAATTAGAAAAAGCAAGTCGCTGTTTTCGGAACAGCCATTTTCCTTTGAGAAGGCGGGGCAGAGGGGCGGTGTTGGGGGCCCAGGGCAGGAGGGGCCAGGGGCGGGGTCAGAGGGCCAAGGGCGGAGCGCGGCGAGTAACAAAGAGGTTGAACTCGATCATGACCTCATCATCACCTGTTTCGTGTTCATTGTTACTTGATTTATGACCCGGAACCAATTTCTCAATGACTACCGCTAAAAGACATAGTGAATGGCTAATTTTAACTCTCCTGTCATTGCTTTATAGAATATATGGCTATTTAAATCAAGGACCTATATAAATGCAGAATTAGACGCTGAGTGTGTCCAGCGCTAGTGAAGTATACGCGTTAATATTACCATCTTTGAAATGAATGCACTGGGGCTCATTGAACAAGACACCGAATGTCAATCTTTCTTGAATATCAGCTTACCATACGCCATTAGTAGTAATAGTGACTGGTTGATGAAGATTCCTCGACCTTCACACACTCCTCTTTGAATTCCACTTAGCATTGAAGGTCTGTTCTACGCATCAAAGGTAGAAAAAGAAATGTAATGAAAAGCATAAATTCCCACTACTCCTGTTGCCTCCCCTCTTCTGTTTTGACATTTCGTTTGTTGAAATTTGTCAAAACAAGCACTGCCAACAAATGCTAATGACGCCCATGAGGTCAGTCATAATTAGAACGTTGAAGTGACCGACAAACGAGTTCGCGACAAGGTGTGAATCGGTGGCTCTCACAATAGGTCATTTCAGGTCATACATGTAGAGAACAGGGAAGCAATCTCTATTAGTGATAAAGTGCAGCCTGTTCTTAGTAGGGGATTAATTTGGCAATTCTTGACATAAAATATAATAAAAGATATTGCTGTTGTTGTTTTTTTTCTCTCTCTCTCGTCTTTCCAAGTTTTTTTTTTTCTTTTTTTACATTACTTACTTACAAGGACTACCTTGACAAAATCAAAGCGTAAGTCGAGACTTATCACTGTCAGCAGCTCGCCACTGACTTTGTTTCCCGCTTCCAGTTGATCTCTGACATTAGGTCATTCCATAATTTGCATTCTTGTGCATTTCTCCAAAACTCTATCATTCGAAAAGAAAACGGGAAACGTCAGTATTTCCTTAAGTGAAAAGCAAAGGGACGCACGTTGTAACCTTCCCCACACACTGTCATACTTCTTCACAGATCTTGTAAGAAGTTTAGGAGGGGGGGGGGAGAGATAATGCGAGGAGGAGGGGGAGGGGGAGAGATAATGCGAGGAGGAGGGGAGGGGGGAGATAATGCGAGGAGGGGGGGAGGGGAGAGATAATGCGAGGAGGAGGGGGAGGGGGAGAGATAATGCGAGGAGGAGGGGAGGGGGGGAGATAATGCGAGGAGGGGGAGAGATAGGAGGGGGAGAGATAATGCAGGAGGGGGGAGGGGGAGGAGGAGGAGGAGGGAGAGATAATGCGAGGAGGAGGGGAGGGGAGAGATAATGCGAGGAGGAGGGGGAGGGGAGAAGATAATGCGAGGAGGAGGGGGGGGGAGAGATAATGCGAGGAGGAGGGGGGAGGGGGGAGATAATGCGAGGAGGGGGGGGGAGAGATAGGAGAGGGGGGAGATAATGCGAGGAGGAGGGGAGGGGAGAGATAATAATGCGGGGAGAGATAATGCGAGGAGGAGGGGGAGGGGGAGATAATGCGAGGAGGAGGGGGAGAGATAATGCGAGGAGGAGGGGGAGGGGAGAGATAATGCGAGGAGGAGGGGGGAGGGGGAGAGATAATGCGAGGAGGAGGGGGGAGAGATAATGGGGGAGGGGGGGATAATGCGAGGGAGGAGGGGGGAGGGGAGAGATAATGCGAGGAGGAGGGGGGAGGGGGGAGATAATGCGAGGAGAGGGGGGGGAGGGGAGAGATAATGCGCGGAGGGGGAGAGATATGCTATGCGAGATAATGCGAGGAGGAGGGGGAGGGGGAGAGATAATGCGGGGAGGGGGGAGGGGGAGAGATAATGCGAGGAGGAGGAGGGAGGGGAGAGATAATGCGAGGAGGAGGGGGAGGGGAGAGATAATGCGAGGAGGATGGGGGGAGGGGGAGAAGATATGCGAGGAGGAGGAGGGGAGATAATGCGAGGAGGAGGGGGGGGGGGAGAGATAATGCGAGAGGAGGAGGGGGAGGGGAAGAGAATAATGCGAGGAGGAGGGGGGAGGGGAGAGATAATGCGAGGAGGAGGGGGAGGGGGAGAGATAATGCGGGAGGGGGGGAGGGGGAGAGATAATGCGAGGAGGAGGGGGAGGGAGATAATGCGAGGAGGAGGAGGAGGGGGAGAGATAATGCGAGGAGGATGGGGGAGGGGAGAGATAATGCGAGGAGGGGGGGAGGGGAGAGATAATGCGAGGAGGAGGGGAGGGGAGAGATAATGCGAGGAGGAGGGGAGGGGGGAGATAATGCGAGGAGGAGGGGGGAGGGGGAGAGATAATGCGAGGAGGAGGGGGGAGGGGGAGAGATAATGCGAGGAGGAGGCGGGAGGGGAGAGATAATGCGAGGAGGGGGGAGGGGGAGAGATAATGCGAGAGGATAATGCGAGGAGGAGGGGGGGAGGGGAGAGATAATGCGAGGAGGAGGAGGGGGGAGAGATAATGCGAGGAGGAGGGGGGAGGGGGGAGATAATGGAGGGGATGGGGAGGGGAGAGATAATGCGAGGGAGGAGGGGGGCGAGGGGAGAGATAATGCGAGGAGGAGGGGGAGGGGGAGAGATAATGCGAGGAGGAGGAGGGGGAGAGATAATGCGAGGAGGAGGGGGAGGGGGGAGATAATGCGAGGAGGGTGGGGAGGGGGGAGATAATGCGAGGGGGAGGGGAGGGGGAGAGATAATGCGAGGAGGAGGGGGGGGGGAGATAATGCGGGGAGGGGGGAGGGAGAGATAATGCGAGGAGGAAGGGGGGGGAGATAATGGAGATAATGGAGGAGGGGGGAGGGGGGAGAATAATGCGAGCGAGGATGGGGGGAGGGGGAGAGATAATGCGAGGAGAGGCGGGGAGGGGAGAGATAATGCGAGGAGGAGGGAGGGAGGGAAGATAATGCGAGGAGGAGGGGGACGGGGGGGAGATAAGCGAGGGGGAGGGGGGAGAGATAATGCGAGGAGGAGGGGAGGGGAGAGATAATGCGAGGAGGAGGGGGAGGGGGAGAGATAATGCAGGAGGAGGGGGAGGGGAGAGATAATGCGAGGAGCGAGAGGATAATGCGAGGAGGAGGGGAGGGGGAGCAGATAATGCGAGGAGGAGCGAGGGGAGGGGGAGAGATAATGCGAGAGGAGGGGGGAGGGGGAAGATAATGCGAGGAGGAGGGGGAGGGGGGGAGATAATGCGAGGAGGAGGGGAGCGGGGAGGGGGAGAGATAATGCGAGGAGGAGGGGGGAGGGGGAGAGATAAGCGAGGAGGATGGGGGAGGGGAGAGATAATGCGAGGAGGAGGGGGGAGAGGGGAGAGATAATGCGAGGAGGAGGGGAGAGGGGGAGAGATAATGCGAGGAAGGAGGGGGAGGGGGGAGATAATGCGAGGAGGAGCGAGGGGAGAGATAATGCGAGGAGGAGAGGGGGAGAGATGCGAGGAGGAGGGGGGAGGGGGAGAGATAATGCGAGGAGGGAGGGGGAGGGGAGAGATAATGCAGGAGGAGGGGGAGGGGGAGAGATAATGCGAGGAGGAGGGGGGAGGGGAGAGATAATGCGAGGAGGAGGGGGGGAGGGGAGAGATAATGCGAGGAGGAGGGGGAGGGGAGAGATAATGCGAGGAGAGGGGGAGGGGAGAGATAATGCGAGGAGGAGGGGAGAGATAATTGAGGGGAGAGGCGAGGAGGAGGGGAGGGGGAGAGATAATGCGAGGAGGAGGGGGGAGGGGGAGAGATAATGCGAGGAGGAGGGGGGAGGGGGGAGAGATAATGCGAGGAGGAGGGGGGGAGGGGAGAGAATAATGCGAGGAGGAGGGGAGGGGGAGAGATAATGCGGGAGGAGAGGGGAGAGATAATGCGAGGAGGAGGGAGGGGGAGAGATAAGCGAGGAGGGGGGGGGGGGGATAATGCAAGGATGGAGGGAGTTAACCTTCTCAATTGTGGCTAGTAGTTTTATGGGCACTTGAAATTCTGTTTCAATTCTTTAGTCTTGAATATCTGTCTTTATGATAATTTCTTCGGTGCGTAATCTTGTAACGCTCAGTATAAAAAAAAAGTATATTGCATAATGATACGAAAAAATATTTGCAATTTGTATGATTAAAACCATTTTTTTTATACATTTTCCATATATTGACAATGAATATGCACGCACACACACACACATATATATTTGCATAAAAAATATATACATATATGCGTGTATGTGTGTTTATTTGAGTATGTGTGTATGTATGCGTGTGTATACATACTTATATATGTGTGTATACGTATACACATATACACACATATGTATGTATATGTATCTCTATCTCTCTCTATCATATGTACATATATGTATGTGTATATATATATACCTAAATAAATAATATTGCACATATATATATAATATATATATATATATATATATAATATATATATATATATATATATATATATATATATATGCACATGTACACACACACACACACACGTAAACACAAACTCTTATATGTGTGTGTGCAAAAGCACACACACATATGAGTGTGTCCCTTTTGTGTGTATGTATATGTATGTATATATATATATATATATATATATATATATATATATATATATATATATATATATATATATGTACCATATATATTCAATACATATATACTTATACCATTCATATTATATCATATATATAGACAGATTTTATATGTGTTCATACATTTATATATATGCATCTATGTACATATATATACATATATACATATATACATATGTATACATATATACATATGTATATATATATACATGAATACATACATAAGTACATATATACATATATATATACATACACATGAATACATGTATATACATATAACATACATACATACATACATACATACATACATACATACATACATACATACATATATATATATATATGTATATACATATATATACATATATATACATAATACATATATACATATATACATAATACATATGTATATATATATATACATAATACATATGTATACATATATATATAATACATATGTATACATATATATTACATAATACATATGTATACATATATCATATATACATACGAGCCATATATATTCTATATATATACATATACATATATATACATATAAATAGGCAGATTGTCTGTTCATAGACATGTACATATAGTTCTTTAGTATTTCGAGTGTTATTCGCTACTAGCTTGTAACCTGACAGTATTTTCTACTAATTTCCTGAGGAGTGAATTACAAATTGTTTGTGCAACCTGAATTTCGAAATATTTGGTTTTATTTTAATCTGTACAGTTTTCACAGGGTGCTTAAAGGTTCACCTTGGCAGAGCGATACAAAGGATATTCCCTTCGTAGAAAAACTATCCATCCTGCATCGCACCTCCGACGTCCAAATCCTGCAAATCTGCTTCAGAAACGGGAGAATCTGGCAATGCGAAGGAGCCAAAGTCTCCGCTAGAATCGATGGACACTTCATCGCACAACTCGACGTCGACGTGATCACCTTCGGCAGGAGAAACAGGGGCAAGACGGGAGCGTCGGTTCTGGTGAGTCTTGACGTGCTTGTTGTAGTGGTCGGATCGCATGAAACGTTTTCCGCACTCGCCACACTGGAAACGTTTTTCGCCCGTGTGCGTTCTGAGGTGACGCTGGAGTTCATCGGAGCGAGTGAACGCCTTGTCGCAGTACATCCACTGACACACGAAAGGCCGCTCTCCGCTGTGTGAAAGCAGATGTGCCTTCAGGTACGTCTTGGCATACAGCTTGCCACATCCCGGGACATGGCAGATGTGTTCCTTTCTTGCCGCCTGTACTGCTTCGTGAGGTCCTGGCAGTTGGGGCAGCGACATCGTCGACAGCGACGACCACCGACTGACGTGCTGACGAGAGCAGAAGCGATGCGCCTTCGCTGCTGAAGGATGGTGTCCTGTGCGAAGGCGTTGAGCTGCGAAGAACGAGCGTTGGTTTGCCTTGGCCCAGCAGAGGTCCGGCATGCTGCTTAAAGGTGGAATGGATAATCGTAAGTGGCGTGAGAAGTGGCGTGTTATAAGAACTTGCACTCCACCAGGGCGATGTGTGCGGTTCCATTGGGGGGCGTGAGGGGTTTCTCGGGCGGAGGAGAGAGCGTGCGGCGTGTGATAGGGTTGGCAAGGGCGCTGTAGTGGTGCTGCAGGTACGGATAGGGAAGCTCCCCGACGCCGCCGTACAAGTTAGGCGGCGAGACGTTGGCAAGTTGTCCACGGACGTGAGGGAGAGTCGTGGTGGGAGTCTGTTGATGGAAAGGACCGAATGCATTTCTGGCGTGAATATTGCTGTAATAATCCATGGTTGTTCCCTCAACTGTGCCACACGAATACATCTCAGTGCCGTTGATTCCGCAAGGAGCAAGTGGGAAGCGGAGAGTGAGGTGGACCTTACCTGCGAGCAGTGATATACCTGTCCTGGGAATGCGGGTTCTCTCTCGGCCGACTGTCACGTACTGCCATTGTACCGCAATGTATATTATTTATGAGCTGGGTTGATCTTCGTATAATTTTCTTAGTCCTGTATGGAAATTTTCTAATAAGTATACAAATAAAGGTAGATGTATATGAATATTTGTATATGTAATTTTTCCATCTCTATGCATATAAATATGTATATACATGCAGATATATATATATATATATATATATATATATATATATATATATATATATATATATATACTGTATGTATGTGTGCATTTGTGTGTGTTTACATAATACAAATATGCGTTTTTATATACATATATGAGTGAATATATATGTATGTGTTTATATATACATGTTTGTATGAATATAAAATAGATACATAGATAGGGTGGTATTTAGACGCTATACATGCACAGAATCCCTTATGACTTATTCAGAATACCATCGATTAATTTGTCATCGCTCTCTTAGGAATACTATCATTTCTAAAATTATATTATTTGAGTATTTTTTGACAATGGTAAGAAAAAGCTGTATCATGCCGGACATTCGTAGTCTCCCTACACGTCACTGAAATGAGAAAGATTTCAAAAGACTAGGCTATAAATTATATTTCAGCAAAAAAAAAAAAAAAATCATTTATAGAAGCGCTGAAAGAAGGAAGGAGGAAGTGAAATGGGAAGAGGAATAAGAGAAAGGACGGTCATTCCGAACCCGTAATCCGAAGACACTTCACTTTCATGTTCTCGAATTCCGCCCTTTGCCCCTCCTCTCCCGCCCTTCCCCTCCTCCCCTCCCTCCCCGCCTCTCCTCCTCCTCCTCCTCCTCCTCCTCTCTCCTCTTCTCCTCTTTCTTCTCCTCCCTGTCTCTCAACCTCTGTTCTTCCTCCTACTCCTCTACTCCTCTCCCCTTTCTATCACCACAGCTCTTTCTCTATTTCTTCCATACGTTTGATTTTATATTATTTCTTCCTTTATCCTCTTCCTTCATTTCCTCTTACCCCCTATCATATCTCCTTTATTCCGCATATCATACTTCTTGCTTCTTCATCTTCTCTCTTTGATTTCTCTTCTCAGCCATTTTCTCTTCTTCCTCGTCATTCTCATTTTCTTCCTGGTCTATTTTCATCATTTCCTCTTTATTCCCATTATCTTTATTTTCTTTTTTGTTCACTATCATTCCAAAGGGGGTAGTTGGAGGAGAAAAGGAAGACAGGAGGAAGAGAGAAGAGAAGGCGGAGGAGGAGGAGAAGGTGGGAAGGAGAAGAAGGAAGGAGGAGGAGGAGAGGATGAGGAAGAGGCGAGGAGGGGGAGAGGAGTAGGTGGGGGAGAAAGGAGACAGGAGGAGGATGCGGAGAAAAAAGGAGAAAGGAGGGGAGAGGAGAGGAGGGGAGGAGCAGAGGAGGAGGCGGAAACGGAGGGGGAGGAGGAGGAAGCGGAAAAAGAGAGAGGAGGAGAGGAGGAGGAGGAAGGAGAGAGGAGGAGGAGGCGGAGAAAGGAAGAAGGGAGGAGGGGGAGGAGAGAGGAGGAGGAGCGGAGAAGAGAGAAGAAGAGAAAAGAGGGAGGAGTGAAGAGGGGAGGAGGGAAATTTAGGAGAGGAGGCATATGAGGGAGGAGGAAGTGAAGAGGAGGGAGGAGGAAGAGGATAGGAGAGAGGAGGAGGATGCGGCGGATATATATATAATATATATATATATTATATATATATATAATATATATATATATATATATATATATATATATATATATATGGTGTGTGTGTGTGTGAGTGTGCGTGTGAGTTCACACACACCTACACATATAATCAATTTCATTATCATTATTCATTTAATGACATTATTTTCTATTTTATTTATTCGTTTCATATGTTACACAGTATACTGATAATGTAATCATTGGTATTTGTTATAAAGAACAGGAAACAATGCTATTGTTATCACTGGAATAAAAAGTCTTTAAAATCAAGAATGGTTTTCTCTCTAACACTGATTAACACTGACAAATGGTGATTGACCGCATATGGGTGACCTGGGATGACCTGGAAATGACATCGTCCAATTCGCACCTTGTCGCGAACTTGTTATGGTATGTCATCTATAATCAACATTCTAAAAATCAATGTAGGCTCTATAGTTAAACTCCATAGTGATGAAACATATGTGTGTGTGTGTGTGTGTGTGTGTGTGTGTGTGTGTGTGTGTGTGTGTGTGTGTGTGTGTGTGTGTGTGTGTGTGTGTGTGTGTGTGTGCTTTCCACGGTAGAGGGCACAAGGACCAAGAATCATGCATCATCAAAGGTTTTATGAAGTATTTCAGGTAAACGTGGAATGAATAAGATACATACCCGTGTCTGTCATGAAATCCGTCAAAGCGATGTCAAACAAACAATTGAAAGTGAGATCAAAGAACAACCCATGACACTAAGGTGACCTATGATAATGAGTTCGCGACAAGGTGTGAATCCGTGACTCACTAGTCGCAAAATATAGGTCAGAACATGCCAGTCTAAAGATACAAGAAAATAAGAAATCCGAGAAAAGATACAGAATGAACTTTCGGGTTTTGTCGACCTGCCATACCTGGGAAAGTGGGCGGAGAAGCGACCTCGTGCTCTGATTGGCTGACGTCATCCAGAGCCCAGGTATATTACCTTCCCCGATCACGGACATCGTCACACTTCTTCCCAGCGTCTGTTGCATCGACAGCCAGTTTTATCAAGATGTATCCGTCAGTGCCTTAGGAGGACCGCAGTTATCTCACTGGGTGGGCGGTGATGGCCTGAGCAGCTTCCATTCCTATCAGCAGCCAGGTCTACCATTAACGCCGTCGCCTGAAGCTCACAGAGGATATTTCGCCAATGTTTCGCCTACGTCCTACAGTGGAGTCAGTGCTTTGCCTTACCATTCCCTTCAGCAGTGCTACGGCCAGCACAACGGCGTCGCGACCCCAATGCTCTCTCCTCCTCCTGAGAAGCCGGTTACGCGCCGAAGGATGTGCAGACGCGTCCCTGGTGGAGCACGAGCGTTTCCACGACACCAACGTCACACATCCCCCACAGCTTCCGCCATCCTCAGTATGCCAGTCCAACGGTACCACCAACAGGTCAAGCAACTCCTCCGTTTCTTCAATCCCTCCCGATTGCCGTTGCGGCGCAGGATTCCGTTTCGCACCATCCAAATGCCATCGCCTCTGCTCTCCTCAACGCGCAGTCATCCGTCAGCGTCGGCGTTGTCGACGATGCCGTTGCCCCAACTGTCTGAATGCCCACGAGACGGTTCAGGTGCCAAGAAGAGGGAGCACGTTTGCACATTCCCGGGTGCGCAAAGTGTACGGCAAAACGTCCCACCTCAAGGCTCACCTTCGGTCCCATGCCGGAGAGAAGCCCTTCGCGTGCCAGTGGATCTCTGCAACAAGGCCTTCACTCACGCTCCGACGAACTCCAGCGCCACCTCAGAACGCACACGGGCGAGAAACGTTTCGAGTGCGTCGAGTGCGGCAAACGTTTCATGCGCTCTGACCATCTCAACAAACACGTCAAGACCCACGAGAACCGACGCGCCCGTCTTGCTTCTGCTTCTCCTGCCGAAGGTGACGACGTCGACGTGGAACTCTGCGATGACGCCGTTGAAGACTGTACGGAGGAACTTCTCTCTGTTACGCTGCCAGACTCTCCGTATCTGAAGCAGAGCTGCAGGAAGCTAATACTGACGTCGAAGATTTGCTAGAGAACTCTTATCTATGTGGACAGGATAACCACTTGTCGCAATATGGCTATATGCAAAACTTCCAGATCTAAATTGTACACTGGCTAAAAATTTCCTGGGTGAACCATCTATGTAAAACCCCGTTGATTTTTATTTTATTTATTGGAAAATATGGAAATAAAAGATTCATATATATTTCCTATATCATATACCTTGAGTTAAGCTATATCTATCGCATGCCTAATAGACGAAACAGCTCTAGTTCAGACACACATAGTTCCCAAGTACCAAGTCTTTTCCTGTTCCAATATGTTTTCAAACTTTGACCTTTAACCTGAAATACAGTTCAATATAGATCATTTTATGATTTCTATCCCTCAGATTTAACCCTTCTATTTGAACACTACTCTCCATCTCCTAAGACAAGAA